CATGGTGAAAAGTTGAAAGTTCTGTACTTAGCTGCCCACAGCGAAACAGTGAGTTGATATTCTTTAAATTTTTGCTGAACAGATATGGTTCTCTTGCTTTTGATGTTCATTTTCAACATAATTTAGGAGATGAATATGTGGATTATGAAATTAAGCTATGCTTGTAAACTCCAAAAACAATATGAGAATTGTCAGATAATCCCAGGTATTGCTGTGTTTTACAAAATTTCATCTTTCGTAATTTTTCAATTTGGGGATTTACTGTAGCTCAGTCAGTCTTGTGAAGAGGTCTATACTTCATTTTGAACAAGAATTTAATTTTTGCTGGGAAATCCAAATCGTGGATGAGAGGTTGCAAACGTAAGAATAAGGTAAATGTAATTAGATGTGACAATTGAAATTGTAATTTGTATGTATGCAATTTCCAGTGCCTAGAGAAAATGTTGTTAATGAAAGTGCAAATAAATTCTTGCTTGTGGAAGATAATATGAATAAACGTTACTTCACTGATAGTGCTGTGGTATGTTTTCATATCTTAATCATTTGTATTTGGAATAATTCTTGAAGATTTGAACAATTATAAAATAAGTGGTCTGTTACTCTGTGAATTACTCTGTGAATTCAATTCCTATGCTGAGTTTGCATTTTTAACGTTATAGTCTTATATATATATACAAATTTACCAGGTAGAATCGCCGATATTGTCAAATATTATTACTAATAGTTCCAATTATATAGAAGCCATGACTGCTCATGCTTATATACGTTTAAAGGATTGCTCCTCAAAACATTCATTAGGTAATCATCTTGCTATTTCAACTTTTCTATTTTGGTTGTGCTGTTGAAAACTTAAGAATCATCTCTGGCTATTTAGATGAATAGTTTTGTGCACAAATGTTGGGATGATTTTATTTTCAGGAAGCAGCTCAGCATCTTTAAGCTCAAGCATCGCAAGTTCGTCCACTTTATCTGAAAATCTTTCATTCAAAAATTCGTTTCTGATTCCTCCTCCCATGTGAGTTTAATTTAATAACTAAGTGAAAATGATCCAGTTTTCACTTAGTTATGAAATATTCTTCCATAATTTGTTCATGTCATTGTTAAGAAAAAAAAAAGTGGTTATATTAAAGTGATAACTTCAGACCACCCAAACCAAATCGTGGTTCACGCATACAGAAAAGCGAAAAACACGTCTTCAAATTAGGTATTACATAAATTGTTTTGTTATCAGATATTACTTGTTTCTTCATACACTTCATGTTCTGTCTTTTCTTGAATATTAACACGTTAAGATATCCATACTATGTATATTTATTCGATTTAAACAAAAATTAAGCAAGGTGATTTCAAAAACGCATACAAATTCAAAAACTCGATAGAGAGCTTAAAACTAAAGTGCTTAGCAGAAGGCTGTTTAATGGACTTTTTAATGAGTTATGGTTATGATTCTAGATAAACATATTTTGGAGCAGCCAGTCAGTTTTCCAGATGTTCATGGGACTCTCAGTGTAAAAGAGGAAGAATGGAGCAACGAAAAAGTTCGTCTGTATGTTATTTTTCTATTGGATTCAGGGTTTCCTGTTACTTTGAAACTTTGTGTCATGTAATCAAGACCTTCAACTTATTATTTCTCACTCTCTTTTTTAGCGATACAATTGGCTCGATTAATTCAGATAGGATTTTTTTATCAGTTCATTCCTCAACCCCTACTATTTTTGATTCAAATGTTCCCAAGCCACTTCCACGTCGCCGTAACTTGCGTAACATTCCTCCTGAGGTAAAGTTGTTCATCTGATGTTCAGGATATTTATAAAGTTTTTGTTCTGATCTTTGAATTATTTGTCTAAAGCTTCTAAACATTATAATTCTAGGTAGACCGGTCTTGTAAGCCAAATGGAATTGGGTATATCGCTGTAACTAATGATCAGAAAAGATGCAATACTGATGATTGGTAAAATAAGTCTTTCGTTTCTATTCTGGGAATTTTAGTATCGTGAGACTGTTTCAACTGTAAATGTTTAGAACTTGATACCAACTAGTTCTTTGTGAGTGAAAGTGTTATTTTTCTGATTTCGAGTAACGTCTTAAAATGACTTAAAAAAGTAAGGCAGACAATGAGTCATTTGTTAGGAGTGGAAAATTGAAATCTATTAATTCTTGCTTAGTATCAAGATTTTTTATATAAGGACTTTAATTTTATATATAATTTCAATGGAAAGAAATTTATTTGTCAGTTTAGGAAAACAGAAGTATTTGCGGCATCAGCACAATTTTTACGGAGTGATCTTTCACACCAACAGTCTTTGTATGCTGTAGCAATGCGAAATAAGCAAGTAAGTGTAAATTTTGACAGCCTTCTTCTAATCACATCCATTTAGTATTGTCATGAGCAGAAGTCAAATCAATATATATTTTTGGTTGGTTATTGACAAAGGAGTAGGTAAATAGTTTTTTTTTTTTTTTTTTTTTTTTTTTTTAAAGATTTCAGTTGGTCAGGAGGTTTTGTACGATAATGAATCAATGAGAACAACGACTAGCACGCTGGATTATCTTGATCCTGTGAAGGAACCATTAGTGCAATCACAGTCATTTATCAAGTCTTCGCAGCGACCGAAAATTCCCTGTGCCACTGAGTACACACAGATTGATGAAGAAAGCACAAAGGTCTGTTTTTTTTCCGAAAAATCTATTTAGAGATTTTTTTCTTCTCTCTTTCTTTCTCTCTCTCTCTCTCTCTCTCTATATATATATATGCAAATCTGTATATTGTCAAACTACTTACCTTTAGTTTCCTTTCAGTTGCCTTTTTATAATATATGAAATGCAAATATTCGATTTATCGCAATTAGTATGAAGGTGCGCTATTGTTAGCTTTTTTACTAGTAGCAAAATTTTTTGCTACTGTAGTAAAAAAGTGCAAAACAAAAAGAAAAATCATTTCAGGCAGTTTTGAAAGCCAATGTGCGACAAAACGAGATGAGGCGTAATGGTTTTCCAGTTTGATTCTGATGTTCTCAGGCTATTTTTTTTTTCCTTATTTCGTGCTGCTTTATGCGAGGTTATCATTGCTATCCATCCATTTGTTTATTGTTCAAGTAAAGTTGTAGCGATTTTTTGCTGATTTAAACTTATGAGGAGCTATGTAAAATATGTCACATAAATATTCAGTGCTTTGAATTCAGTAAAACCACTATAAACAATATAATAGTAATCTGTTTATGTCGAATGGAATGCGAGATGCATGCCCGTAATTGATAGCTAAAAGCTTCAATATTTTTATATATTTTAAACCAAATAATCTGCATGATTGTTCTAATCGAATTTGAGTTAAGTGATTTTCAGATTATGAAATGCTTAAATTTTTATAAGTGGATTTAGTAAACATTCTTCCATTTTTATCTTATCATCTAATTAACGTGTATTGAAGGCTTCAGGGCTATTTCATTTTCATCAGCTACCACAAACTGCACATGAATGATAATAAAGATGCTTTATACGTTCTTTTTTTTTCTTTTGTTTTTCAAGTACATTCCAGCTATTTTCATGTATAGTGAAGAAGTAAAATTGGACAGGAGTGGAAGAAGCCTGGTTTCAGAATTCGGCATTCACCAGTTCAGCGAAAAATGGAAAGTTCTGCCTTGTTGGGCTATTATTTTTGGGTTCCCTAAGTATTTCTAAAATATGCCGATCCAGTCGGGTTACCTCCAGGACTTTGTTTTCCAGGAACTTGCTATGCACCTACTGTGACATTAGTTGATAGAGCGAGTCTTCCAAATTTTAGATATCAATAATCATGCTCATATATTTGAGGAGTATATATAAATATTTCAAGGCACTGGAGTTTTTGTATCCAGAAATAAGTAAGATTTAAAAAGTTAAACCTGATATTGAGCGAATAAGTCAGTTGATCAAGGAACATATCAAACAGATAAAAATTGAAACTGTAACAACTTAGTAATTATAAAATGTTGAATATAGACGGGTCAGTTATAATGAGAATAGAGAAAAAGAATGGTTTTTGCTGTTCTCTTCAAAATGCAAGGCTTTGATATTTCATATGCATTTATTTTACAATGTTTATAAAGCTAATAAATTAATTTTTACGATAATTAATAAAGTTCAATTTTTATGATAATTAATAAAGTTTTGCCTTATTGTTATTCAATCGAATATGATCATAATTCTTCTGTTTTGATAATCAAAAAATGCAGATAAAAGCTATAAAATGTTAAAGGAGTGACATAATTTATGCATTTTCAACATGTTTTTAAAGATGAAATGACTTCTTGGTTTAATTTGAAAATACTTCGTGTGTGCTGCTTTTGTGTGACATTAAAGTCGGATGTACATGAATATTCCTCGGTAATTCAAATAATGATTTAAATTAAATTGATTTAAATATCTTTTAGTTACGAAGTAGTAACGGGATCAAAAAATCCCAATTATAGACCATTTATTACAAATTATAAAATTAATTGCAAATCAATTACGAACCGTTCTCAAACGTGTTTATTTAAAAAAAAGCAGGTTTTCTGTGCTAATAACGTTGCGGGGTGTTAGCAGACAGTTCAGACAAAACAAGGTGAAAAAATCGGTGGAAAAAAAAAGCTCTGCAGGAGTACACAAAGCAATTTCGTTTTTTCTTTTGAATGAAGTTTTGACTAAACATTTCTGGAAGATATTTGCATTGCATTGAGAATATCTAAGCAATTATTGTAAGGTGATAAATTCACTGCTTATAAGTCAAACGGTTATAAAAAATCGATCAATCTTCAATCTTTCTGAGACATGAAATCATAAGAGGAGAGTTATACTTTCCCGGTTAACATGTATCTCGGATAGCATATTGTATGTTCCACTCATGTGATCGACCGGTTTATAGCAAGAACAAACATTACTTACACTGAAAAAACCATTTCGTTTTACTGCCATTACATCTGGGCATGCTGTAGTATTTAAGAAAGTGTCATTCGATAACTAAAGGTCGTACTCCTTGTGAAATGTCGAAGGCAGTAGGACGTTTGTCGAGTGGTATATCAGTGGTCGGAATTGCAACATGTTTCTTTTATATTCCATATCTGATGGAACGTATGGAAGACATCCGTGGTACTCTGGCTGTCAAAATGGATCTCTTTCGCGTATGTTATCATTGAAATCTTAATTATTTTCGACAACTTAAAAATATGTATATAGAGTCTACAAGAGTCAAATTTCAGAATCACAAGAAATCCAATTTTCTGTTATTTTCTTCCAATTTGCATTTGGAATACTCACTGAGAATAGCGTATAATCTAATTGCAGATATTAGAGCAGGAAGTATGGGCTGAAATGATGATTACTCGTGACAAAATGCCACGTAGTCGAAAAGAACGTCAAGTGGAGCCAGTCTGCAACTGTGACACTGGTGACCGATGTCCGCCAGGATCTCCGGGAAAACCAGGCTCCCCAGGAGTACCCGGTACTCCAGGATCTCCTGGTCAACGAGGTATGTTATAAATTACTTAATAGATTTCTCTTCTTACAATCGAACTTTTTAAATGTCATATGTTTTGAATTTGATCCCAGAAAAAGAGAAATTAGTATTTCTTCTATTGGAGAAAGCAGTTAAGAAATCATCGATATGATTCATATATTATGACGCTGTTGTCCAGGAGGACCAGGTTTACCTGGAATTGTACCACCGATGACCTTTCAACCCGCGATCGGTTGCAAACAATGCCCACCAGGACCAATTGGACAACCAGGTTCAAGAGGACCAATGGGACCACCGGGTGAGAAAGGACCAACAGGCAATCAAGGACAAGATGCCCGCCCAGGCAACAGTGGACCACCAGGACCCCCTGGACTTGCAGGTAAATATAATAAATTAATATTCCGCAACATTGTAGCCAAGTTTTTTTTTGAAATTACAATATCTTTGGAAATTGTACTATAGTCTACACTACAAACATCTACACTACTTGTTTCAGGCCAACCAGGACAGGATGGCAAGCCAGGTCAACCAGGTCCACCAGGAAATGAAGGAGTTGTTGGACGGAAAGGACCTCGCGGGCCACCAGGTCCAGCTGGACAAATCGGAGCGAAAGGCCAACCCGGACCTTCCGGTAATTCAGGACAGCCAGGACAACCTGGTTATCAAGGACATCAAGGAGAAGTAAACTAATTTGAAACATCAAAACGAATGAACGTAACTACTGCTATTAATACCTTCCTTCATTTCTTGACTGTTAACACATTAAAAATTGCAGCCTGGAAGTAACGGTGCACCAGGTCCGCGTGGACCACCAGGAACTCCAGGACCACCAGGAATTCCAGGAAAAGATGCAGCATACTGTCCGTGCCCGAAAAGAGCAATGTCTATGCTTGTTAAATCAGCTAAAACCAAAGCTTAAGTGCTTATATGAGGAAAATTTTGTCGATAGTGAGTGTACCAATTCTGCAATCACAAAATCAAGCTTAATTTTCTGTTGTCAGTTGAAAATTTTCTAAATAAAGATAGAAACGCATTTCAAGAAGAATACACAGCACCATTAAATTCAACTAATGTTCATAAAAATGTTTATGAAACGATATGATATGTAATATTAACAGTATCATGATTTGTGCAAGTGTAAAAGCCGCGGTCAATTAGATACTGCAACCAGTATACATTATATGCCACTTTCCAAGTTCATGATTTCAACCCATGACAGTCATGCATTATTCTGTTTATTTCATTGCTTAAAATAAACAGCATCCGAGCTAAAGTAATTAATTTACATGACTTGAAGTGACAAACTAGGCGAAATGGAGGAAAAGCTTAGAAACAACAAATTAATGAGCAGCTTCTCATTACACCGTAATTTCCGTATTTTTTAGTCATTATAAGTACAAGTCAAATTTGCCTTTCCCCGTCCAAATATATTAGCTAATGTGAAGTTAGAAGTAAAAGAAATAATTTGCAGCGAAATCGAACAATATATCAATACTGAAATCAATCACCGTAGTAATCTGAAAAATTCCCGAGTTAGTGCTAGCTGAACCCACCTTGTTTAACGTCGAGTATTGCAAGGGTAGTTGGAAGCCTAGGAATGCGAATGGTCCAATCCACTCTTTACCATCCCGTCACACTTCTTTAGGCGTTGGCCGTTTAGTGCTGACTGCACCTGTTTCGTTTATCGTCCGCCACTATACTGAATTCTTTTATGAATTTTTAACTTATATTGTAGTTTGGAGAAGGAGGTCCGGTTTAATAAGAGGTAAAATAGCACTCTTATGAAACGCTGTTTGGATTTGTTTCAGATCTTGTTATTAATATGACTGATGAAACGAGGAATATGGAGGTGAGCGAAGGTGATGATTGCCAGGAAGAGACCAACATTACGCAAGGAGAGGTCATCATTTGTCTTTATTAAAATATATACGATATTAATAAACCAAAGATTTCACTTCATAATTTTTAGAAGCGTTTCTATCTTTCCTTCTGAAAATGTCGAATATGATAATTTTATCCTGTCGTCACACTCTTGATCTTGATTACCCACTTATTTCTATTTTACTTATATCTCCTTCATCTGTCATCTATCTTTCACTCTTTTTCACTCTTGTTCGCCTTTCGCTCTTTTTCACTCTTATTCGCCTTTTGATTCAAATTCTCCTCCTGATTCAAATATTTCCTGGAATTATTTTAAATTTATCCTAGTTTTCCTTAACTCATGATACTATGATTTATTCATAAATCTTTTCTCACTGTGATATCTCTATCATTTGTTCAGTTTTTTACATTCATTTCAATTGGTGTTCAGGTACTGAAATTCACATCAGCTGCGCTAAAATATGCGGGCAAAAGTGGGAAGAAATTGAAAAACCATAATAAATATGCAGGAATCGGTGAAAAGTACCATTTACGTTTCAAGATGATCAAATGTAATCAAGCGCTTGTAAAGACAATACTGCATAGCTATGGATTTGAACAGGTGGCCTTTTGGAAGAGAAGATTAAGAATTCATCAACCTTTTTTCATAAAATTTGTTCGCTGATTATTATTGTTAGCTATCTTTCGAAATGATTCGCGATCATAAATTGCAGTGTTCTTCAAGAAATTCAAATTGCAATATTATCTGGACCGGTTCACATTTGAAACCACATGTTTTGCGTTCTATGGCTTCATGGTATGACGTCTTTTTAAAAATTATGTTTATATTTAATTATTACCTTAAGTACTCTCCGTAAGTCATTTTAATTAAAACTTTTTGATTTGAGTCCAACTATTTCTCTTTATTTCATGCATTTGTATTTCAGTACTCTTTTTTTGGTTGTACATTTTATTAGAATGTCAGACAGTTTTGACGAAGAATGTAGTTTGAAAACCAAAACTCTTTTAATACTTTCTTGGGATGTGTATGATATTTTTTAATAGCAGCTTCTTTACTGCATCATGATATATATTCCGTGACAAAAACTTTTTTCTTGGCATGTGCATAAAAGCGGACAGGGCAAAGAAGTTGCTGTTAAAAAATATCATGTTTGCCATTTTTCGTAATGTATTTTTGTTGTTTGAAAAACTAGCTTATTAGAATATGTATTAGTTAGTTTTCTTCTCAGAGTATAATTATTAAAATCAGTTTAAATGATGCAGTAGCAGTACATCGAAATTCACTTTATAAAGGCATTTTCTTCAGAACCTCATTTTTAATTTTATCTTGAAAAAGGAACTCAGTGTTGATTAGTTCTGCAATTATTCTATAGTTATGTTATATTAACTCAGATTTAGCTTATTATTTAATTTTAATTATTATAAACAAAGATTTACTTTTGGAAATCGTTGAGTAGATTAAAACACTTTTCTGCTTTGCCTCAGGCAGCGTGTGAATCACTTTCCAAGAAGTTTTTTACTGACGAGGAAGGATAAGCTATATGAGTGCCTGGGACGAGCTCAGACCTTATTCGGAAATTCTTACAATATCGTACGTTCATTTTTTTTACTTTACTTTCTTGGTATTCAGTCATTTATTTGAGCATATTACTTTGTTATTACAAATATGCAAAAAAAGAAGTATAGCTTTGTAATCTTTTTTCATCTGTTTGTAAATATTTCATTTAATGAACTAGAAAATAACGAATCGTTTGTTAAATTACCTTTCTTTTTTTCCATCTAGAATTAATATGATAGAATCTTAGTCAAATTCTATTTTTCCTAAATTTTCAGATGGTATTATTAAATTATATGATTTTCAGATCCCTGAATTTTTTGTTACCCCTAAAGATTATCAGAAATTTGTCGACCACTTTAATGCACAGTCGCACGGTCTAAAACCTTTCATCGTAAAACCAGTTGCTTCTTCACGTGGCAATGGCATTTTTATTATCCAGAGTGTAAGTTTCATTTCTGTTCACTAGGTACATTTTTTTAGGCTTCAAAGATTGTTAGAAAAGTTTTTGATTGTTTCTATTTTTCTGTTCATTACTATTTATTAGTATATAATATTGTGCCAAGTGGCGAGAATCTGTTAAATTAAGGTTCATTTTTTAAATGTAGTTCTAGTTGGAGAATTTTTTTATACTCTTTGAAATAATTTTTTAGCCTGGAGGTATACCACTTGGATCCCCCATGCTAGTTTCACGTTACATCGAAAATCCATATTTGGTTAACGGATACAAATTTGATTTGAGGTTTGTTAAGAGATTGCGATCATTATTCATTTCCAGTCTTTGTTACTGTAATGTTTAGTTTAGTTTAGAATATTATTTAATGTTTTTTTCTTTTTTTTTTTTCATAACAATGTTTAGAATATTAGCAGTATTTTCTACTGACTGCATTGCTGAATACTGAACACTACCATTCATGGTTGTTCTGTGGAAGGATTGCAATATGAGTTCTTGTTTAATACAGTTCCGTTGGAACATCATTTCTGTGAACTAATTCTCTAATTAATCATTATGTGCAGTGTTTTCTCGATTTGTTAACGGAATTAGTTTGACTGTACGCAATGCTTTACATCTGTATCACGATTAGTTGTTCGTTTCGAATTTTATGGGAAAAAAGTTCCATAATACACAAAAGTTAAACTCCAATTTCAATAAGCGCTTTAAAAGGATTCTTAATTTTTTAATGTGTCTTCAGTTTTTTGCACAGGTGGTTCCCCGAGTATCGAAAATCAGTTCTTAAATTATTTTTGGAGTTTCTAGTTCTAGATTCTGCCGAATTAAAAGGAGATTTCGAAGTGAAGAATAGTTTTTCCAGAAAAATGACTTCAAATCTGTGTTATTGTTTTCTATAAATTAGTTAGGAATTGCACCAAAAATTGATATATGTAACAATTTTACAGTACGATGAATTCGAATCCAAAACTTTTGAAAAGTTTTCAGTTTTGTTTTAGATTATACGTACTAGTAACGTCATTTTGTCCGCTGGTTGCTTACATGTACAGTGAAGGGCTTGCACGGTTTGCTTCGGAGAAATATTCCAACAGTGCAAAAAGCTATGAGCAACACTTTTCACATCTTACTAATTATTCACTTAACAAAAACAATGGGAAATTCATCAGGTGAATACCAAAAATATGATTGTGCTTTAAATCTTCGACTTTATCATATTTTTTGAAAATTAGGATTGTTACTTTCAGGAATGAAAGTGCTGATACTGAGGACACTGGTCACAAATGGACATTAGGTGCCCTACTCCGAAAACTACAGAGTAACGGGATAGATACAAATTGTATGTTTTTCTTTTTGCTAATTCTACGATTAAAAGAATTGCGATGTTGAGTGATTAATTTCAATGTGAATCCGTGGAAGTAATTTTCCAGTGGTTATTGAATTAAGACCGAGTAAAGAGAAAGATGCATTAGCAAAATATGGGTGCTCAATAGTTTCAAGAGGTATAACTATTGAATAAAATTCTTAAAGTAAAATAAGGATATGTTGTGTTCTTATTCTTACGAGAAAAAAAAAATTAGAGACGAAAATTGATACTTTCGCTATTTAAATAAAGTTTGGAAAAGAAAAAAAATAATAATAAAATTGATATTACAGTGCTGATGGTGCGTGTAGAAGATGTCGTATTGAAAGCTTTATTCTCTGTACAGGGACAAGTCGCGGCAGCTAGTAAAAACGTTGTACATTCTAAATGTTGCTTTGAATTGTTTGGCTTTGACATATTGATTGACAGTAGCCTTAAACCATGGCTTTTGGAAGTGAATCTATCGCCCAGTTTAAGTTGGTTGGTAACTACTAGTTTCACGAACATTTTTATTACTGTTTGGTTGCAAGTTTTTTCCACTTTATTATAATGAACTCAGTTTTATTAGTGCAATTAGCAGAATCTGAATCTAGTCAAATTTACAGCACTTTAAGTGGTAGTAGCCGTATACTAGCACTTATATTTGTATAAAGGTTGACTGTTGAAGTTCAATAGATTATAAATATTAATGAAACATATCTGAGATTGAAATGTCAAAAATAAAGATTTAAGAAGGAATATGAAGATGTTTAATAACTTATGCTTAAATTTTCCTTCCGATGGTAAACCCTTTTGTTTGCAGTGACACTCCACTAGATTTGCAACTGAAGTCTTCTTTAGTTTGTAATGTTCTTACGCTTGCTGCTTTACCACTTCTTCCCCAGAAATACACAGAAGGCCGATTTCCCACTTGTGGTAGGTTCATATTTTTTACTACTTCCTCCGCTGTAAATAATTATTAAAGGATAATCACAATCAGGTCAATTCATCTAGTCTTACAAAAAAAAAGAGAAAAATTCCAGACAAAGGCTTCGAAATTTGACGTTCTTTTAGCTACTTTTTGTACTTCAAGTAGAAAGAGATATATGTCAAAGGATGCAGCTTTATTCGTTGCCCAGCGTTTAAAGGTAATTTTTTTTACTTTGTGTTACAGTGAAACAAATTAGTTATTATTTGATGAATATTTTCGTAATCTAAGTAATGCTTAAAATGCTTTATGGTTTATATTGCAGCTTTATAAAGTCATTAGGTTAGCACATCGTAAATTTAGGAACTGTTATTTTCATTGAATATTTTATTTTCATAGAAAAATTCCAGAAGAAATCAATTCGATGTCTCTCACCATCCTTCAGCCCAACAAAAATTTACGCAAACAACAAGGAACGGGCCCGAAATAGCTTAGAAAGATGGAAGGTGGAATTTGATCGCTTGGGTGCTTTTGTTCCATTGTTTCCTCGTGAAAATTCCTTCTATCTTTATAGGTTATGGAATAATTGTTTCATTCTATCTTTATAGATTTCTGGAAATACGCTTGAACTTATCTTTTCATCTGATTCTTATTGTCATTGTAGCCCTTCTAATCTCTAACACTTTGTTACAAATATGGAGGAAATCTCTCAACTTTTCTTTGACTGAACAGTACATTAAACAAAAGGAACCAATTTTCCTTTTTCCTTCTCTTTTTGTTGTGCTGTATAAAAGTGGGAATATGAAAATTTTTTCATTAAATACGGTCCAATCCGCTAATCGACTGTGGATGATACTTTTTAAGAAATTAATCAAAAATGGATTTCATATAGAAAAATGAATAAGTTATCAGCATCTTATGCATTTTAGTTATTTAATGGAAGATTATGATACGATCAACTGGGATGCGCGTTTGTTTGAAGATATTTACGGTGATAGATTTTCTGATCTTTTTACTGAAAAAACAGTTAAACTGGTGCAGAAGGAACTTATGGATTGCGAAAATGTTAGTTTCTTATTTTGCAGCAATATTTTTGAATAATTTTTATCACAAATATTACTTGGGTAATGTTTCGATATAATTTTAATTTTGCGAAGTGGAGATCATTAAACTGTAAATCAACCTGGTCAATTAAATTGCAAATCAGCCGGGTCGATGGCAGTTTTATATTTTTATATATTGACTGATTTATGCTGAAAAACTGGTAGAGCTCAGTTACAAATCAGTGCATTGCTTAGATAGTGGAAATAGCCTCCTTATCGGGATCGGTGCGTGAAGCTCTAATGCCATCATTAAAAATGGCCGGGAGGTACATGTCGAGAATGACTAAGCCAGGTATAAAATATGCAAGTAAGTCTTCGGATAGCTTTTTACCCCCAAATCTTTGCATTATTTGCTGTGTTCCGTTTACAAATTACAAAATGATTAAATGATACAGCAGGACCTTCATTTTTCTAATTACCAAATTTTGATTCCCGAATGCTAGTTCTTAAGTTTCATCTTTCTTTTTTATATTTGCAGATAAATTACCAAAACTTCGGTCAGAGTTGCGTAAGAGATCTGATAGCTTTGAACAAATGGAATCCAAACTACGACCACTTGTAGTTGATTATGATGATGTCGTTTTTGCAACAAGTCTTCAAATTGACCATGCTGCTTTTGAGAAGTATTAATAATTCTATAACATGCGAACCTGCGAATTTTGTTTACCTAACTTTTGCAGAATAAAGGAAGCAATTTGAATTAATAACAACTAAGTTTTAGAGCTTTCATTGATGGAGCAAATCCAAAAATCCCCTTAACGGAACTGTCTAAAATTACTGTTTTCAAAACACCAGGTATCTCTCTGTCGGAAAACAAAATAAGGTTTTTCTTTCACATATTTTCAGTAGTTTAAATATTTTTGTGCAAACTCATTGATTTTAAAAAAATCATTTGACAACAAGTATTTTTTATTTTCAGGCAAATTCGCGCTGATCCCGACGAAAATGCTGAACCGATAATAGCTGTACAATTTTAACTCCTTCCATGATTATCTGATGCGTGCACACTATTCATAACCTTCAGAATGTTGTTAGTGCTCTGTTGTAATGTTTGCTTCAGACAAGCAGATATCTCGGTCAATATTGTTGTATTCGAGTACTTTCTGACTTAATGTTGTCATTGATGTGGATAATATCAGAAAAGAGATCTTATGCGCATTGTAAATGACCAATTATTCATACTCATTGGAAGTTACGATGGCTTTACTGTTGAAGAAACTAACTCCATATTCAACTGTTACCTTATATGTGCCTTATCCAAACTTTTACCAGATTAAATTGGCAGTCAGTGCACTGATTATCATGACCAGTTTTTCTCGGAATTCTCTTGTGCTTCCCTCTTAATTTACCTATTTTTAATCTTAACGTATATGAAGCGTAACTTTTTGATGGACAAAAAGCTTTTAACTTAAAATGCTCGATTCTCGACCAAATAGTAGTGCCACTCAATTTGGCGAAACTGTTCTGTTCTACACAGTTCCCGAATGCGACATTTTCAAACTGTTTTATGACCAAGAACCGCACTTTTCCAGCTATTTCATTACAGCGACCACAGCAGATCGTACCCGACCGGATGGCCCTAAACGCATTGTTCACTTCTCAATGTATCTCGTATTTTTTTTTTTTTTTGTTTTCATCCATATTACGATACTGTTCTTATGTTATTGATGCCGGCGTTTTTTTTTTTTTTTTTTTCTCGTTGGAATGAATATATAACGGCGAATCTAATATTGAAATAAGGTGTGACATTTACGCAGCACGCAGCATCGGTTTATCTTTCTCAACTGCAGACATTGTGGTTTCAACAGCTGTTGCAATTTTTTATTAGTTTTATGATTTTTTTGGTAACTTGAATAAAGTTGCTTTTCAAGAGGAATCACATCAGTGTCACTGTAGAAACTGTACGAACAGCTTAAGTTGTGATATCAGCCAGTAACACTCCCATTTATTCTATCTTCTAATACTCAATACACCAGTACAAAATTCGTTGCACAAGTATAAAAGGTATACAAGTTTTTGTTAACAATAACCAGTAGGGAGGGAAAAGATCTCAATTTGAAATTTATTTGAAGAAATAACCAACGACATCCTTCCCACATTGTCAGTATAAAGTTCAAAGGTGGGGTTTAATTTGCATGGAGGGAAGGTAACAAAATTGCTTGAAACTCAGTCTTATCATAACTTTCAACTAAACGCCACGTGGATATCGGTCGTATTGAAGCATTTGTGTGCGAAAGCAAGGATCATCTTACAATTTACAATCCTGCCTACTGCACTATTTTTTTTCCAGCTTTTACAGAAAAACATATTCAATGTTAGCATTAACTGGGACAATTCAGGAATCGAGACTTCGGGATTTTATGGATTGGATTGGGATCATGCACTGTCCAGCTGGATATTGCATGAACCAAATATGGTTCCTGCTTCTGCCATCAAACTTTTCTCGGACACTTCAGAATGGCACCTCTCCTGAGAGGAAATCACTCCAAACACACATACTTCTTCCAAAACATCGTATAATGCCCATCCCTCGAAGAACCTTCCAGAATGTCCCACTCTTCCCAAATGTTCATATCCCAGAAGTCCCTCGTAGAAACTTCCAGAACGTTCTATTGTTCAAATACTTCATCGTCCATTCATTGGTTGTCATTACTGCAAGCACCGCCCACCGATGGTTCTAGAACATTCCTAGGACGGAATGATATAAAAGGGTCTACGGAAACCTTAGGACACTGGTGATGTTGTCGGTGGTTGTGGTGCGGCTGATTGGGGGAGGGGGAGGAGGGGGTTGCTTGTGGTGATTTGTGCTTTTTGTCTCGTTGGAAGTGCAGGGATATTTGCGTCAGGGCTAATGCGTTCATAGAGTAGCTATGTAAGGCGAAGACGTGGAGCTTTTTGAGGTTCTTGTACGCAGCAGCGATAAATTTTAACCACACATTTCAGCTTTCGTGTGCAAGGTATTCTTGGCAATCGGAATAAGACTAGCAACAATGTCGGAAGAAATGAATGGTGAAACTTTCGCGTTTCAGGCGGAGATCGCCCAACTGATGAGTCTCATCATCAATACATTTTACAGGTTTTTATCCTGGTTTACTGAGAATGGGTAGATTTGGTAGCGTTATGTGTGGTGGGTTAATGGCTAGAGGTTACAAACTTTTCCTTTTCAGTAATAAGGAAATTTTCCTCCGTGAATTGATTTCGAATTCCTCGGATGCGCTTGATAAGATTCGATACCAGGCGCTTACTGAACCAGCCGAATTGGAAACTGGAAAAGAGTTGTATATTAAGATTACTCCGAATAAGGTACTTCTTTATTCGATACCGTGTTGTCCAATTCTACTGCTTCCAACTAGTCTTTGCTGTATTTTGTTGTAAACTATGTTGTACTAAGTTTTTACAGGCTGATAAGACGCTGACCATTATGGACACGGGGATTGGTATGACTAAAGCAGATCTGGTTAATAATTTGGGCACAATTGCTAAATCTGGCACCAAGGCGTTCATGGAGGCTCTCCAGGTATCTGCATTTAACACTACAGTTTTCTGGTAAAGTGTGAATCTCTCTGCCGAATCACATGTTTTAGGCAGGTGCTGACATCTCCATGATTGGTCAGTTTGGTGTTGGGTTTTACTCCGCATTTCTGGTCGCAGATAAAGTTGTTGTGGCCTCCAAACACAATGATGATGATTGTTATCAGTGGGAGTCGTCAGCTGGAGGTAATTTTGTCGCCTTGTTAGTCTTTAAATGCGTGTTATGGATTGTTGAGGTATTGTAGAAACATGCTTGCAGGCTCATTCATTATTCGACAGGTGAATGATCCAGAGCTTACACGAGGCACCAAAATTACCCTGTACATCAAGGAGGATCAGACTGACTATCTTGAAGAGCGTCGCATCAAGGAGATTGTGAAGAAGCACTCACAGTTTATCGGGTATCCGATTAAACTTACTGTAGAGAAAGAGCGTGATAAAGAAGTTTCTGATGATGAAGCGGAAGAAGAAAAGAAGGACGAAGATAAGGAAAAGAAGGAAGGTGAGATTGAGGATGTTGGAGAAGATGAAGAAGAAGATAAGAAGGATAAAGACAAGAAGAAGAAAAAGATCAAGGAGAAGTACCATGAAGATGAAGAGCTGAACAAGGTAGGTTCGAAGGCTTAAGAGGTTGTATATGGTTAATGCTTTGGAATAATATATGCACTTCTGTATTACGCGGTTGAATTATTTTCAGACAAAGCCTATTTGGACACGTAATCCTGATGATATAAGCAATGAAGAATATGCGGAATTCTACAAATCACTATCGAATGATTGGGAGGATCATCTCGCAGTCAAACATTTTTCAGTTGAAGGGCAACTTGAATTTCGTGCTCTGTTATTTGTACCACAACGTGCACCATTTGATTTGTTTGAGAATAAGAAGACAAAGAATGCTATCAAGGTCTGTTGGACTCATCAGGCTGTATATGGTTTTACTAGAACTTCTGGAACTTCTGCAAAGTCTCGCATATTTCAGCCGTTTGACGCTGTTTTTTTTTTAGCTCTATGTTCGCCGAGTGTTCATCATGGAGAATTGCGACGAGTTGATGCCAGAATATTTGAACTTCATCAAAGGTGTTGTTGATAGCGAGGACTTGCCGCTAAATATTTCCCGTGAAATGTTGCAGCAGTCCAAGATATTGAAGGTGATTCGTAAGAATCTTGTCAAAAAATGCCTTGAATTGTTCGACGAAATCGCGGAAGACAAAGACAACTTCAAAAAGTTTTACGAACAGTTTTCGAAGAATATAAAGGTATGTTTCCTGTCAGTTTAAATTTTAAGAGGTGAATTCTATAATCAGAAATGTTCCGTTGTTTCTGCTTGTATACGGCTAATTGCAGCTTGGTATCCATGAAGATTCGACCAATCGAAAAAAACTTTCGGAGTTCTTACGATTCTATACATCAGCATCTAGCGAGGAGATGACTTCACTGAAAGATTATGTTAGTCGTATGAAGGAGAACCAGAAGCAAATCTATTTTATTACTGGTGAATCCAGGGAAGCTGTCGCCAGTTCTGCATTCGTGGAACGTGTCAAGAGACGTGGTTTCGAGGTTTGTCAGACAGTCGGGTTTATATCAGTCTTCTTTTGTTTTCCACAATAGAATGTTTGTAATTTTTACAGGTTATTTACATGACTGATCCGATAGACGAGTATTGTGTGCAGCAGTTGAAAGAATATGATGGCAAAAAGCTGGTCTCAGTAACTAAGGAAGGTCTTGAACTGCCTGAAAGTGAGGAGGAGAAGAAGAAATTTGAGGAAGACAAAGTTAAATTTGAGAATTTGTGCAAGGTCATGAAGGACATTTTGGAGAAGAAGGTACATTAAGCGATTTATAATGCATGGGTTTAAATAGCGGTTGCTCAATTCTCATTGCGGTTTGGAATACCAGAAATTTGATATAAAGACGTTGTATAAATGTGGGAAGAGGATTTTATGAATTTGTTCACGTGTGTGCTAAACTATATATATATATATATATATATGCTTGATATATCTATAGGTTGAGAAAGTTGCTGTATCAAATCGATTGGTCTCATCTCCTTGTTGCATTGTAACATCTGAATATGGATGGTCTGCCAATATGGAGCGAATTATGAAAGCGCAGGCACTGCGGGATTCTTCTACAATGGGATATATGGCTGCCAAAAAACATCTCGAAATCAACCCTGACCATTCTGTTATCAAGTACGTTGGTTTGATTCTATGAGCTCAAATTTTTTGGAGTAAAAGATGATGGTTATTTTGTTTTGTCTGTTTCATTTTAGAGCGCTGCGAGAGCGTGTCGAGGCAGACAAAAACGATAAGACTGTGAAAGATTTAGTGGTTTTGCTCTTTGAAACTGCCTTGCTTTCTTCTGGTTTTTCGCTTGAAGATCCGCAGTTGCATGCATCAAGGATATACCGCATGATTAAGGTAACGATTTAGCTAGTTATGATACTTTTAGGCCGAGTAATTTGTTTAGAACGGAAAGAAAGTACATTGTTTTTCCAGCTTGGGCTTGATATTACGGAGGATGAGGAAGATGAAGCAATTGCATCCGTTTCTGGTGAGAAAGACGAATGTGTGCCAAACTTAGTTGGTGCCGAGGAAGATGCATCGAGGATGGAAGAAGTTGATTAATTCTCTCATTAAATTTTAATAATGTTTCAATTCAATATGAGTTAAATTGTAGTAAAATTAAGTGGAAATTGCTCAAGCAGTGTTTCCGTGATGAATTTTTCATTTGATGTCGAACTTGTGCGTTTTTGTTGATCTCGTGTTGAGTTGTTCAATCTTTATAATGAGGAAGCAAAATTGTTAAAGTGCATCAATATGCTACGCGTTTTTTAATGTGTTTTTTTTTTTGAATGTCTTTGTTTTGTATTATTTCTATGTTTTTGTACTATCAATAAAATTTTCTTTGAAGAGTTCGAAGAATTCCCAAGCTATTTGAAAAAAGCTGTGTCGAGTCGTGCTCGAAGAGCTGCTTAGGTTATTGTGTGAGTGAGTGCTCCTATCAGCCAGCATATTGCATTTTTTGTTTGTAGAGGATATGGTTTTTCTCGTAAATCGTCTCTATCAATAGAAAACTAGATACTTTCAAGTCCTAAACCTTTGTCGTTGAAGATTGATTGGGGTAGTCTGGTCGGCGTTCATTTGCTGCAGATTGTATTTCCGACGGAGATGGCTGTTCCACGTGCTACTTTGCGATTGTCGCCTCTAAATTCTGCACTGCTTGTTTGTGATATGCAAGAAAAATTCAGGTGACTTTATGCGTAATTGGAATCGGTGGTCTTAAACTACTATTGTTAGGATTATCAGTTTTTTTTTTTTTTTTTTTTGTGAGTTTGGTATAAGGGTTTTGCATGAAATTGCAGGCCCAGTGTCAAATATTTTGAGGAAATTGTTCAAATTAGCAAACGCCTTATTGTCGCTGCGAAACTTCTTGATATGAAGATTATTGCCACAGAGCAGTATCCGAAAGGTGAAATTATTAAGAATCCCAAGGTTCTTAATCTCACTTTGAAGGAGTATTGTTAAACACATAATTTGCTAACAATGTGTTCAAGTTTTACGCATATGTTTTGCATGCTTTTATAGTTGTGTGTATCGGTTTTTACGTTTACGTTTTAAAATGAAACTGTTAAATTCTAATTTTGAACTTAAAAAGTGATTATTAAGTCATTAGTGAGTACAGCGAGTATAGCTTCACAAATTCATATGAATTGATTTTTTATTTAGGGCTTGGGCATACTGTGTCAGAATTGGATCTAAACAAACATAATATACCAGTTTTTGAGAAGAAAAAATTTAGCATGTGTGTTCCATCTGTTACGAAAATGCTTGAATCATCACAGTCTGTGATATTATGTGGTCTTGAAACGCATGTATGTGTTTTACACACAGCGCTTGATATGCTCGAAAAAGGAATTGCTGTACATGTAATTGCTGATGCTGTGTCATCTCGCTCACAAACGGACAGGTATCTTTTACAGCAGTATAAATTAAATTCTGGTTGCATATTAGACTTGTGTATAGCTTTCGGCAAATAAAATTTTTTTACTGGCATGTAAAACATAACTTGAATTATTTTTTAAAGAATGTTTGGCTTACGACAAATGGAAGTTGCTGGTGCTATCTTAACAACTAGTGAATGTGTCATTCTCGGTCTATTAGGAGGTGCGGACCATCCGAAATTTCGCGATGTGCAGAAAATAATCTTAGAGCTTGCACCGGATACTGGTCTACTGCAGTACTCATTGTAAACTAGATAGATGAAATTAATCAAAATGATCTTATGAAATGTTAAATCCACTGCAAAACTTGGGAGACTGAAGTGAACTAAGTTCTTTTTTCATGATAACTTATAGGCATTTGGTAGAGTTGTTAATACTTCTCTTGCACTTCAGTAGTGCTTAGTTTCATTATCTTAACGCTACTCGTAAATGTTATTGATTTGTAGTTCAATGATAACTTGGCACTCTAAATCTTCACATAATTCTAAAATATGATGGAAAATATCCACTTTTCTAACACTATGAACTAGATAGATGGAGTTTTTTACAAATTATGAGGTGCCGCTTGGATCACCGATCCATGTGTCCGTGTGATAAAAAATTCATGGTGCAGCATTATGAGAAGTTTTAATGCATATGACATTGTTTTAGTACTCATTTCTTCCATTTCTCACTCCGATTCTACATTCTGCTATTCCACACAGATTGATGAAAGCGTTAACGAAGTTGTTAATGTGAAGTGTTGTAGGTAAATAATCCGACATGTGGTCATATTGTTGAAAATCCTCTACTTTTAATTATACCACAACTGCAGTTTCGTTTTCCATGTAAATATTTCATTTTAAACCATGTTTGCTGCAAACCATATGGTTGTTGTTCTGTGATTTGAGTACTGATCGAATTCTTCAAACTTTTTGGAATTCCCAATTAATTAACTGTAAATATCCAACATATTCCCAAGTTTATTTCTTTAAAGCATTCTAACAAAGAAGCACACAAATGAAGTAGGCAGTCAAAGTAATATTAGTGAATATCAATTGTATGCAAATTTCCTTCCTTCCGTTAAAAGCAATCAAAAAATGTTCACAGATGATATATCGTCGGGAAAATGATGTGGTAATCGAAGAGACTTAACGCACCTTTTATAAAGTACCGTCACTACACTGTTGATTAAATTAAAAAATGTGAAAGAGGGAAGAGTCAACTTCTTCATATTTTATTAGAGATCTAAAATTCAATTCTAGAAGTTTGTCGGACACAAAAATCATCATACATGAGAATCTGTTAGATATGATAGTTTTTAAAGTGTTATTACATTAAGCTCACTACAGTAACTACAGCAATATGTGGTTGTCTTTGTGCTGAAGCCTGTTCTCATATTTACTGCCAATTCTGCAGCTGAAGGAAGGACCCATCTCCGTAAGCGTTATTTCGCTTTTTTCGATATCCACTAGATTCCACTGGGGCTGGGACTATAGCGGCATATGGTTGACCAGCTTGTGCTGGAGCTTGTTCCGCAGGTGCTGGCATAGGAAGTGTGAGGCCTGCAGTTGGAGGGACCGCTTCGTCACCGTAAGCGTTATTTCGCTTTTTTCGATATCCACTAGATTCCACTGGGGCTGGGACTATAGCGGCATATGGTTGACCAGCTTGTGCTGGAGCTTGTTCCGCAGGTGCTGGCATAGGAAGTGTGAGGCCTGCAGTTGGAGGGACCGCTTCGTCACCGTAAGCGTTATTTCGCTTTTTTCGATGTCCCCAGAATTTTAGTAGAGCTGGAACAGCGTGCGGTTGTTGAGTTTGTACTGAAGACTGTTCAGTAGATACAGCCATAACTAAGGCCGAAATGATATCTTTATCACTATGTGCATTATGCTTGTGCACTGAAAAAAGTTTGATGCAATAAGTATTATGTAATTAATAAATTCTGAGAAGTTAGGTTTGACAAATTCTTTGATCTTCTAATTAATTACCTGTGCAAAGATTTCTTTTTTTTTGGGTGGGTGAGGGGAGGTGGGGTTGCATAATGTTTTACATTACAGAGATCTTTGACAACCTTCGGAGTCTTGGCGGTTTTGATATGTGACGGAAATATTGGCGATGAATTATATGCTTTTTATTGTAGCACTTGGTCACCTCCGACAATTCTTTATCTCTAAATCTAAAATATGATTTGAAACCAGTTCAAGTATGAAATGTGGCTTGCATCCAGGGAAGAAAAAAAACAAACGTTTAACAAACTGGTTTACATTGCTTAGTTTTCTTTTGAGTGCTTTACCCACTACAAAGAGGTTTCCTCCAGAACACTTTGAAATGTATGATCGAATTTATCTCTCTTATACATTTCCTCGTTCTTCATCAAAAGTTAGTCAACAGTAAATATATTCACAATTAAGAAGTAAATAAGAGTAAAAACATACATGATCGAGATGGTATATTGAAAAAGAACAGTATCGATAGGAGAATGGTAATAATTGAGTTCATTGCTGCTGCTATGAAATGAAGGTAATTAATTAGTAAATAGTTAAGAAAACCGAAGTAGTATTTTTCAGCAGGACAGAACTGGAGTGGAAGTACTTTGCAGTAGTTCCTTATATAGGGAAGAGGAAAGCATAGAGCTAATTGTAACTGCTGCTCCAATCTATCACTTTCAATTATCGTCATTTTCTCTCTTTCCATTCTCCTTCTCTGTGCATCTCTTTTTCTGGTGTTATGAGTGCTGCTGAACTGGTTAGCTCTATTTTAAAGTTTAATTTCCCATTACAATACCAAGAAGGAAATACTCTTCATTTCTTGGATAACTAAGTGAATGTCTATCTATCTATATGTACTTTTTTAACTCTCCCTTTGAAACTATTCAGTTTGATCATTGTCAGAGAAATAAACTAACAAGTGAGCAAAGACGAGAGACGAGAGCAGGTAATGATGATCTTTAAGGTGGAATTATTTTTTTGAAGTGAATCAAAGTTTCCATCGTGAAATTTCTATTTATTACGTATGTAGAGTTACTGAAATGTTGCAGAGTACACAGAGCATTGCAGAAGGACTTGTAGATGTTTAAAATAGTTACATTTCTGTAAACGACAACCTGTTTGTTTGTTTGTTTTTTTTTCGCTTTTGAATCCATTTTACAGTTGCGTTATGTTCGGAATACGACATTCACTGAATCGGCCTAAGAAGGAAACTTCTGCATAAAGGAATTATGGTGTAAAAGGGACGTAAGTACTGGTTTTTATAAATTTTTTTGATCAGAAAAATAAAATGTAAATGTTCGCAGCATGCAATATCTGAATAACTGGAAAAAAAGATTGAAAGACAGCCCAGCAGCAAAATATCCTTATTTCATAATTATGTTGGACGAAATGACTCGTAATATTTTGTCTAATCATTTCTGATTCACGTGACAGTGCAGTACAATTTAATTAGAATGATTAATTGTATTCTCTTCAGATGATCCGGAACTCCGTAATCGGCTATTGATGTTTTACTACTTTGCTCAAATCAGTAAGAAATCTTTGGCTCTGTATAATTGTGAACGAGTTAGAGCCATTTTTTATGCCATTTTAGATTTTATTTTTTCGTTTAAAATTTATCTGGAATTGTCAAGTAGTCCGATGTATCGAAAGTATAATATCAGTTTACTCTCTCTCTCTCTCTCTCTCTCCGTTCTTCATTTTTCCAGAAGACGGCAATCCTTCACGAATGAAAAGATTCGTAATTTGAATTATTAACAAAAACAAAAAAAATTTTGGCTCTGAAAATAAAAAAATTTCAACAAAAAAAATTATGCATGTCTTTTCCTACTAATGTGTGATTTATAAATATTTATGGACAAATATCGAGGAGTGGTGAAATTCCAACCTTATTCAAACAAGTTGCAAACATTTTCAAGTAGTTAGTTTCAGTCTGCACACAGATTAGTTTCAGTCTGACACAGATGCTATATTGGCAAGGACGACATTGTTCGAGATCATTCACATTCAGTCGTTCTCTTCATAGTTTAATAGTTAATCATGATTTTGTTTCCCATATTTTTTTAGTTTTCTAATGAAGTTAACGAGATTTTTTCGCTTTTTCTGATCCTTTCATTACGAATGGATGCCCAATTCTTCTTGTAATTCTGTACTGTATATCACTCAATTACTTCGGACTTCTTGTAATTCTGTACTGTATATCACTCAATTACTTCGGACTTCTTGTAATTCTGTACTGTATATCACTCAATTACTTCGGACTTCTTGTAATTCTGTACTGTATATCACTCAATTACTTCGGACTTCTTGTAATTCTGTACTGTATATCACTCAATTACTTCGGACTTCTTGTAATTCTGTACTGTATATCACTCAATTACTTCGGACTTCTTGTAATTCTGTACTGTATATCACTCAATTACTTCGGACTTCTTGTAATTCTGTACTGTATATCACTCAATTACTTCGGACTTCTTGTAATTCTGTACTGTATATCACTCAATTACTTCGGACTTCTTGTAATTCTGTACTGTATATCACTCAATTACTTCGGACTTCTTGTAATTCTGTACTGTATATCACTCAATTACTTCGGACTTCTTGTAATTCTGTACTGTATATCACTCAATTACTTCGGACTTCTTGTAATTCTGTACTGTATATCACTCAATTACTTCGGACTTCTTGTAATTCTGTACTGTATATCACTCAATTACTTCGGACTTCTTGTAATTCTGTACTGTATATCACTCAATTACTTCGGACTTCTTGTAATTCTGTACTGTATATCACTCAATTACTTCGGAATATATAATGTTGCGGATCAGCTTTATCGATAGTAATGAACTTCGATTTGTAACTTCCTGAAATATCACACCATTAAGTTCTTATGTGGTGTGTATTTTTAATATTGGATGTTCGTGTGCAATGTCGATTGTAAAATTCAGGAATTAGAACATTATACCTTGCGATTCTATTTCTAGACAGTGACTTTGTCATACCAATGTCAACATACTAATGAAATCATATAGAATTGGGTTCAGGGAATGGCATATAATTGATTTCTCTAAAACCTTGGTTGACACAGATACTGTACTGGCAAGGACGACATTGTTCAAAGTCATTCACATTCAGCATGTTATGGAACACATTCTGAGATACCAAAAACTTTCTATTTTGCGTTTATAAAACCTTTTAAGTTACGCACAAAAGCCACGAAAATGGAAAAGATCATTTTGTTTACAAAGAAACTTATTGAATTTCAAAAAAAAAGGAAATAATATGGAAGAAATAAATTTCTAAAAGTTATTAACTGAACATGAAGGCAATCTTCAATGTGATTAATTATCAGTTAAGAACATAACTGATAATGTGTTAAACTTTATCGTCATTATTTGCTAAACTTGTTAATCTTACTAATGCCTAAAAGATATCGAGTCTCGAGTGCTATTGAAAGAAACTGGCAAACAAAGGTCTATCCTTCACACAATACCTTTTCATTTTGTTACTGCGAAAAATAAGTTTTACAAAATCAGAAATTTCATTGTATTATTGAATCTGCTGAATGACATTTTAGTTTTTTTGTTTGAAACAATGGATTGTATCTTTAAATACTACTCTGATGTTGCTCAAACGCAATCATAAATTACTACATTTCATTTTTTTTTCCAATCTAAACTAAATTCATTGCTACCTGTACTACCTAGGCGTAACAATAGATTTCACACACGGATAAACTAGCTTTGTGATATAACAGCAACCGACCTAAATCTTAAATTTTTCACAACTGGAAAATTATTACTAATAATGTTGTTCGTCTTATTTTGAATGTAAAATCGTTAACTCATGAAAAAACTGTTACGTCCTTCAATTTTTTTTTATAAAGGGCGGCATGCGAGGCAATTCTTCTAATATTCCGTCATTGTTTAAGCGACGCACCAAAGTTGATTTAAGAGTTATCGTTTTATATGACCACAATTTACTTCTTACTCGTCTGCAGCAACGTTCCACTTTGGACGTTCTTTTTATCCAACACATGAAAATAAAAAAGTTTTAAAAGAAATATTTGAGGAAATTTGTAAGCTCTCAGATAATATTTAAGCAATTGACAGATTATCAATCTTCAGCAGCAGATCCCCGCTTGACACAGTGTTTTACAAATCGTTGCATTAAATGACAGAATAATTTCAATAATCACGACTACTAGACGTCTCTATCAGACTGTACAACATTTCCACAACTAAGCAGCTTTCCATTGTTAATTTAAAAAAATTTCCAACTCCTGCAAGTAGCGCACAACAACGAACCCGGAATGATTGGAAATTTCAATTGAAAATGAAACTCTAATTTAAGGGTACAAAATAAGAAAAATCGAGAAATCTAACTCTGCTTATGCTCATAGGTTAGTTAACAGGTTCGTTGTTGAATTTCAGAAATTCTATTAGATTCGTCCCTTGCTAATTAATTCCTGCTTTCCAGTTATATTGTTGTAACATTGATACTGCTGTCTCGTCGTATCTGCTTTTATTCTGATAGAAGATCTATGTCAGTGTTTGATGCTGACCTTTGTTCCTCTTTGTTCAACTTGCTTTATAGATGTTTGCATTTTTCAGTCACTTAATTTCAAATCACTTAACTTCTTTTAACCAATATATTTTCACATTAAATGCATAAATAAATATTAATGATATATGTAAATTAAACTTCAATAATCGATATTTTACTGTGGTATTACGTATAGGCGTTTTGTAAATGAACCAAAAGAAAAAAAAAGATTTAAAAACAACACAAAGGAGAAATGGAATTGGTAACTGATGGAAATATAAATAAGCCGTAAAGAAAATGCCCAAAACAAAATATTTACCACATGTCGGAAAACTTTCTTTTCTTTTTACTTTATTACAGAAATTTCCCTGCATACAACATAATGACAATAAATTTCCCGAATCTTCGATCTCCTGTTTATTCATTCTATTTTTTTGGATAGCATAAAAATTAACAATTAGTTTATTTCTTCAGATAAATTTTGATATTTATTGTTTGTTTGCTGCATCTGGGATTTTTTTGCTCCAACAGAAGTCAATGATATCAAAAATTCGAAAGACAGCCCTGACAATTTTCCTCTAATTTACTTGTTTTTTCTCTGAAATTCCAAACTGCTAATTTAAAAACATTCAAGACAAAAATTTTAAGAGTAACGATTTGTGCAAGGTTATTCAGCATCTAATATCATTTAATCGTAAGAAAAAATACAGATGACTTTAATTCAGCGATTGTATCCTTCACTGAATTTATTATTGTATTTTCGAGATGGAATGAAAGACAAATTCGACTGCTACGACTGAACCATTTTCTGTATTCAACATATCACTGACAATATATATCAAACTAGTAAGTAAAATTAAATTAGTAAGAAAAGTTGTTTCGAATTCTTTCAGCAAAAGATCGTGAATTGAGAATAAAGATAAATTTGAGAACGATTCAATTAACCGAGCTTATCTCAACACTTCTTTCTGATTCTCACATTTAACTTCGAAAATATTAAATGTTTAGACACTTCAAGTAATTTGTACACGCAGCACTAATATTGCAGTTGAAAATGCACAATTTTTCAATAGATTTCAAATATTTGGTCGATTTGTCTTAATGAATATAAAGAAAAATAGGCTGCATATTTCTCTAGTTCAGCGATGCTTAATGAAGTTCCAAAACAAAATATATAAATTCTAGTTTTATTAGACATTTTTTTTTCGATGATTTTGTTATCGATCTCATTAAAACATATATCACGTAAAACACTATAAACGATTAGCTTATTTCCAAATGTTCAGATGGAATTTGCCCCTATGAATAACACAAATTTTTCATTAACTATTCAAAGATTCAAAAAATGCGACATTCTCATATCATACCATTTTTCTCAGAAGAAATCTTGGAATCTTTGAGTATTGGACTTTAGTGCAGAGTGAGCCTGCTTCTATTTCTTATATTATGAATTAATTACTCAGTCGTAAGATGATATCACTTTATTCATACCATTAGCCAAGATCTAATCTTGACTAATTTTGACAGAGGAATGAGCGTGCGCCATTACCAGCTACTAGTCATCGTTCTGCGGATATTTTAGAATTATAAAACATTTTCAGGAATATAATGTCCCTATTTTTGAAAAAGCTTTTACAATTAATTAACCTCCCTCCTCATTATGATTTGGATGATCTTATGAATATTAGACAATTAACCTACTCTGCACTGTGGGGACATAGTTATCTCTTAGATGTCGACTGTTGTATTCCCATCGATTTGCATCGAATTATTTAGTCATTGTATTCAGCATGACGATGATGAGGATTGTGAAACTTAGTCCAATAAGTTTGGAAGTGGTGGCACTATTAGAGGATAATATGACGATGTCAAAAAGCCCCGGCTATTTTAATTAACTAAATGAAAGGAAACTCCTCAGACACTTCAGTTTTAAAGAAAAATAAAAAAGACGCAGATGAAGATACTTTGTTAATTAACTAACTGAAACTTTGAAAAAACATACAGGGAAATAAGATTTAAGATGGTAAACCGAATAACTTGCTCCGCACCTATTTTGTTTTAAATCCGCTTCGGACATTCGGATTAGAACTTTAAAATCAGAATTAAAATGATAAGCAAATGCATTCGAATGTTTCAAGTACAACACTGTGGATTGCAATGAAAGATATCAACGAACGGAACTATGAGAATTGTAACTTGTGCATTGTAGAAATGGGAGAAATGGAAATTCAGAAAAGTACCACAGATCATCGTATGGCGGTTCATTATTGCATGAATTATATCCCTTTGTTGTGTGTTTTTAAATAATGACTAATGGATATGTGTTCAGGATGTGTTTGCTCCCTAAATATTTCATGAAAATGATGAGATGACCCAAATCATTATATAGTATATAGAATAGTGCTAATTTAATAAAAATTACAGGAAATTGTTTCACTTCAACAAATAAAATAAACATCGAAACATAAGTATGTATAAATGAGACTTCATTTACAGCATCAGCGAGAAAAAAGAAAACTTGAGTATGACCAATAACCATGCATACATGACCAGGAATATGTATATATTGATGGAAAAGAAAGAGAAGACATTACCCGATATGTTATAACCAATAGAATGCGAAACAAAATTCAACCAAAGTTTCATCTGATTCTGAAGAAGTAAGTTACATAAATCTTCAAATGGTCCAGATTTTGAAGAAAAATATAAAAAACACAGCAAATGAATATGCTTTATATGCTGACTAACTGAACCTTTGAGAAATCATAAAGATGAATAAGATTCTAGTTGGTAAACTGAATAAATTTGCTCCAGTTAATGACAGTGTTTTAAATTCGCATCGAACAAGAAACAAACATAGAAAATGATAGAAATCATCCGGGTACACCATAAACGGGGAAAAAAATAGAACAGGAGATAAGAAAGGCAATGAAGAATATATAAAGAACAGGAGATAAGAAGAATATATGTCACAAACAAAAAACTGAGCCTTGCTGATTACAAAAGGTCAATAAAATGTGAAGATTTAAAACAAATGATAATATTGAAAACCAAAGCAGCATTATCCTAAATGCCAATATTATATTAAGTAAATCAGTAGATGGATATTTAAGAATTTAAGATTTAACATTAAACTTTCGGAGAAAGTGAACCTTAATATTTCATATTGACAATAAAAATATATGACTCGTAAAATCTTCAACCACAATTTTCGTTCTGCCTTCAGCAACAGACTAATAGTACTTAGACCGGATTATATAACTATGTAAAGAAATAACAGAGTGTTATCTTAATTTAGAAACCACGGCTTTAACTTCGATTAGTGCTTCCGCTTCAGCTTCATCTAGATGTTCAATCATTTCTACTTTTTCCAAATATTTTTTGGCAAGTTCTTTGTTTTTCATTACAGCATAACAACGTGCGATATAGAGTAAATTCTCAGGCCATGCGAATGGTGAATATTTTTCAGCCTATAATATGATAGCAATAGTTCGAGAAATGAGTTTTCAAATCGGCATGACGAATAGAAACATTAAGAAATAGAATAGAAACATACTTAGAGTGTATAAAATTAAATTTTAAATATTGAAGTTAAAATACGATGTTTAACGAACCTCCAAAAAATCGCTAAGAGCTTCATCGATTGTACCATGTGGAACTTCAGAAAACAATGCACTACATAATCGTTTCTCGATCCATGTAAGATTGGCGACCTCATACGAAAAACGTCCACGTGAATGAAGCAATGAATATTCGGTCGATTGCATCTGTATTGCGCGATCCAAATATGCCTGAATTATACAGACAACAAATACTCTAAGGACAACTTTATGGGCAACAAGCAATAAAGCATATGTTTTAACACGAGTAAGCTGTTCCAGAGCATTTATTCTTATTGCAAAAAGCCTATACGCTTTTATGCTATCTCATTATAATCATCTAATTGAAGAAAATAAAAAAAAAAAAATGATTTCTAAATAATATAGCATAGAAGGATGCAAAATTAATTTGCTGAAACTTTATGTAATATCAGTGTAGAAGTGTGCAACAAAATTCCTTCACTTTGCGAATATTTCGAGGTTTTGGCAACTATGGAATTACGTTTGAATAAAACAATATTAAACAAATTAAAACCTTGAAAATCTTGCCCTGCTCAATTTTTTCTTTGGGTCCAAGGAAATCAGTTGCAGAGCCAATCAGGATTGCCGCCCATCTGAGTGCTTCAGCATTATTCTCATCGATTGTATAAGCTGACGTTGCATATGTCCGACCTGTAAAAGTGAACAACTCTATCATTACTTATCTACTTGAAAATGGTACACATTAATTGTTCCTTCATTTAATCAGTGCGAAACGGCGAATACTGAAAACAAAAAATGTGTAAATTCCATTCAATCATGATTTTTAATTTCATTTTCACTCCATTTTTCAGACTTGATCTATATTATATGTGTATAATGTTTGAAATATTTCCTTTTCAATTATAGATAATAAAAATTAAAAAACCAGATAAGGGTGCTATAAACGATGTGCTAGTATGAAATAACATCATTTTGACCTATATCGCGCAAAAAACTCCCAACTGACTGATGTAAAAATTTACAAGACTGAGACGGCTCGGTGTAATGAGACTGCTACAAGCATTACTTACAGGAATTACTTACGAGTCAATTAATTAAAATGATCATAAAATAATATTAACTAGTGTGGCATGAACTTGGTCGAAGCAATTCGTCTGTTTCAATTAAAGGAATTATATAAAAACTTCAATCAAAAAAAGAACCTTCGAGAATGAGCAACTTCTTCTTCGGATCCTTCTTTTGCAAAGTATTAGCCCACAAAAAACATGCTTTGCCCAACCGCCACAACAAATCAATGTTAGTTTTTATTTCTTCGTTGCTATCATAAATCTGGGGAAGAAAAAACATTTAAAGACCATGCAAATAAATGTTAGAGTATACAGCATGTATATAAAAAAAAGCCTACTTCTTTCAGCTGTTCATATACTACTTTTGGGTTATCATCTATCGCTTTATCAACTTCTGCGAAATCCTGAAAAAAACTCATCATCGTTTGTTCCACTCTTAAATTTGATTAAAATTTTAAAAAAAAAATCAAAAAAAATCGAATACTGATTAAATCTAAAAACATTTATTCGAATTATTAAAAACCTTTTAAATTTAAAAGTACATTGAATTATTACTGTTTGGGGTTTTCAGCTTGATCCTTGTTTTGTTCAGTAAAAGAAAAATCTCTCTGTGATCATTTAAAATTATTCATCCCGCGTGCATTTGAAAATAAATGATTAAAATCTAATCAATGCAAAGAATTTTTTGTAAATTCGAAAGAATTTCAATAAAAAATTAGATTTTAGAAAAACTTTAATAAAATTTATATGACAAAATAATCACACCATTCTTTTTGCACCAAAAACGCTATTATAGAAAGTGATTTCTCTAAACAAATTTTGTCGGTATTTCACCAAGAAAACACACATAAAGGTTATCTTTTCAATTTATCAAGTCATATTAAGTATTTTTGAGTTTAATAATTGATAGTTGCGACAATGGGTGCGACAAATTGAAGACTTCAGTAAACGCATCTTTCTTTCTAAAAGAAAAAAAGACGAAAATTTCTTTTAAAATGACTTAACCTTGATAAAATGTTGGAAATGGCCCGAATAAATTTTAAACATGCTAAGTTACTGTACACTACTTATATACACACACTACTTTTCAACAGTATGAGTAGTATATTTACTTAAATTGTAAAATTTTTTCCCAGTGAACAATATAGAGAAAAATTGTTATTATTATGATGATGATGATTTCTCACCGACATACCGTCATCTTTTCAGTTGCGCTTTGTGTTATTTGTTGAGGATATTGATTGAAAATATCTACAACTGATGCACAACAATCTAAAATTTCAAATAATTATAATGAAAAGAACTTTGAATAATATAAAAGCTAAGATGAGGACAACAATAATCGAATTAAACAAATGAATCAAAAAATCAACAAATCAAAAGCTAATAAATATAATGGTCAAAATCTGTGAAATTTCTTCTAATAATGTAATAATAATAATAATAATAATAATAATAATAATAATAATAATAATAATAATAATAATAATAATAATAATAATAAACAATAATTAATAATAGTAATAAGAATAACAATAATTAATGGTAGTTAATAATAATAGTAAAAGTTATAACAGACTAATTTGAATGTGAAATTAAAAATTCTACTTTTCAGACAACGTTGTCCTATAAGAGAATGAAAAATAGAAGCATTTTTTGCAATACGACATCAATAAAACTGTGAAAATTGGATGAAAATTACATAACACATGTGTTGTTTACACCTATTTCTGACAGTGTGCCAAATAACTAAAGAACTGTAACGGAGTAACCTGATGGAACTACTTTGGTAGGTATCTCTGAGCTGAAAGTACTATGAAGATGATGAAATTTTCTTGTCACTTAACTTGTGACAAAATAGTGGGCTTTGTCATCGAAAAATAAGAGAAAGCAAAACGCTACCCGCTCAACATCTCCGATTTTGGATCGATCAGCAAGAACTCTAGGAAAACAAGTGGCGCGGCGAAGGGTACCACCAATATTTACAATGGAATAATCAGCCATACGACGACCAACCCGGAAAATCTGTATTACTAATTTTATTTAGAATTCAAAACAAAAGCCTCGAGGAAGAGATTTTGCTGGGTACGTCCGTAAACCAAAGCTTTACAAAGTATACTTGCTAATCTTAGGAAAGTGGATTTGTTCTTCACTTTTATTAACAACAAGAGTCGATTGTACAGCTTGTCATCTTCACCCGTTGAGCAGTCTAGATTAGGGCCATTAGTTACTGTAGAGGCCCAATTTTTGAATGAAAATTAACTGTTGAATGAGTCTTTTTTCAACATATGCATTTCACAACTAGTAATTTATCAACTGCTTTATATTTACCGTAATCTTGAATAGGAAAAACAAAAAAGAAACACCGTCAGTTCTTCCTATTAGCAATGTCTTTATAACAATTTCCCACTTTTATTAACAGAATGAGCAAAAATTATTGGAATGACTCTGAGCAAGATGTTTCAAACCAGTAAGCGACGAGTATATGGCCGCTCTCCAAGTTCATATCTTCCCGATGAAATTTCCGAAGAAATCATGAAAACAGGTTCCCTATGGAAAATGATGTGTACTGCTCTTGTACCGTTACGTTACAAGTCGCCTCGATAACAGTAGTTTAACGACAAATGAAATACACTGAGAAAAGGACTTCTTGTCACTCACATTGCACCATTTAAAAACAATTTGAATTGCGGACTATGAAAGAAAAACATTCCTGCGCTCTAAAAATATAAAATAGTATGGGCTGTTTGTTTGAAGTATCTCCTTACTTTATAGAGAAAAGAATTTCGTCAAAAGAAGCGATCGCAAAGGAGGAGGGAGCATGAAAATATTGAAAAAATTTAAATTCTTAATTTGACTTTCTGAAGTTTGTTTTGTTTGAGAATTAATTGCGACAGAGACAGTTATCCAAATAACCCAGCCGGTGAATAGTGTAAGAAACACTTGATGGCGGCCTTTAAATGGTTCTTTAAAAAAAAAAATTCCTTACTAGGAAATACCAAGCATGACAATATCATCATCTCATGTTAGTGTCTGTAAAGTTCGGGAGAATATAATTTGCTATTAAAGGAAAGTAAACATAGAGATTTTTCATTCCTATCTAATAAATATATGTATAATACTTTTATAATACAAGTTCTTCAATGCACGCATATGAAATCAAACTAGATGTATAATACTTTTCCATATGAAGATGATAATCAGAATTAAGAATGAAGAGGAAGATAAATTTTATTTCCTCTTATTAAGCATTCGTTTTCAACATTTCTTTCGATTCATATTACACTGAAATTAATTTCAATTAGCAATTTAATTATCAAAAACTTTATATTCCCTAAGAGCTTAATGGACCCCTTAGATGCTTGATGGGAATTTTTCAATCTAAAGGATATCTCAATATTAATTCTATTTTCATTATATCAGATAAAAAATAGGATATAACAGAAAAGGAAATAATATAGCATAAATAACTACCACAATACCATAATTTCCTCAGTTATTCACCAAATGTATATTTCGAAAAAACATTTGAAAATATTTATCTTCTACTGCTCACTCATTATATACAGCAAGCACATCACTGAAATTCATTATTTCAAATGCTTGTTTATAGATTCAAAAACTTGTCCATATTGACATTTTTAAGCTTCTCATCCTGAATATCTAACATATTTTTAACAATCTTTAGAATATATCTCAACTTTCCATGCCTCGCTTTCTCCAACTGTGAAAAAAAAAATTTCGTTGCACATGGGGACAGCTTTATCAGATGCTGATTACACTACAAGATTTTTACTTTTTCAACATTACAACCACATTCCGCTGTCCTAATTACTGTAACTACTACTCTTTAATAACCAAAATTGATGCACTTCTCACACTGAACGCTCTGGTCAGAAAGACCGGAATTGCTGCTGATCGCAATCTTCACCAGTCCTGAATTTCGATTTCCGGTTGACGCAGTGTGAGAGCATACCGTTCTAAGCTTATTTCTTCATTTAGCATTTAGCATTGGCTAGATGGAAACTTTTATAATGTTATCAACAGATGCCGATGTTGAAAATATTATTCAAAAATTGTTTAACCCCAAATTTCCTATGTGGCTTAAAAGATAAGAGTAACAAATGGCAACCAAACACAAATAATACTTTTCAATCAGCGGATTCTGCAGAACATTTCCAGGCAAAGTTCTGAACGACTACTGAATAATCACTGGAAAGAACAGAAAGCATGTAGTTGATCAAAAATTATCTTACCATTCAGTAGATCAAAGACGTCTTATTGTCTAGAAGACTGATTCATATCAGTCTATACATAAAATAAAAAAGATTGTTCCAATATATGGGAAAAGAGAAAGATATCATTTTAGACAGATGATAAAAAGAGTGTCCATAATGACATATTGATTGGTGTTGAGAACTTATCAGTTGAACATTGACAAGATGATACTGGCATTGAAGCATTCAAGCAATTAACAGATGCATTACTGATAAGGTGGTTATGATAGGTTACAATTTATAGAAGTGTAGCGGCATAAGAGAAAAGAATGACAACTTTAAAACTCAACATTCATTGATGGAAATAAGGAGTGCACTTGAAGGGAGGGAAAAAAAGCAAGGAAACAAGCTTCTCCAAAAAAAAAAAAAAGTGCACTGATGCTTTAATTCAGCTCCCTACACCACATTAGTAAACAACCATTAGCGCCTACATCTCCAATCTGCTGTGATCGTTCTGCCATCACATTCTACGCATATGATAGTAGGGTGAATGCTTCATCTCATTTCATGGTACTTCTCGAAGTGGCGTCATTTTCGTACATTACACACTTAGCACACCAATAATTACCTTTCTTAATGCAACTCATATCAATCTACAGATGAAACGAAGAAGACTGTTGCAACATAAAAAAATCATTGAACAACATAATGTTCATGTATAAGGGCAAAAGGTTATATAATCCCAAAAGTAATGCAAAAACTTTTTGGGTATCTTTATCGATAACTACAATTTGACAAACTTACAACTACCAGAATATGTCTAATTAGTAGCTAGCTCATGTTTGCGGATCGCAGAAACAGAATTCTGGAAGTGGACAAATGAGAATAAGTAACCGAATATATTAACATATATTGACGCTGTGGAAAGTGAATTAAATCAATAAATAACAATACTGCAGTCATTACAAACGTTCTTAGTAAAACAAAGACGCAGTGTCCAGCAATATTTACAAAGCATGAAAACTTTGCAAGACCATTCATAAACTGACCACAAAATAAGTTATAAGTTAGGAGACAACAGCGGTTTGCTAATTCTTGCTAGAATGCAAACATAAAAATCCATTTTTTCAAACTCCGTACTTTCCTAGCTTGCGAAAGTAGCATATAAATACTAACAGTACTATTAGAAAATTGATTTCTTTCAAAAGAGTATAAAATTCATTTCCTTCTTTTGTTTTTTCAATCAACTTTAACATAAATTTTATGTCTCGTTAAGTATACTTAAGCAGCTTTTTATCCTAGCTTTCATTCACTTGTACTCCAATGTAGTAAAGGATAAAACTTGTGTTCATCGATGTTACACTACAGTAACTAAGAACATAAACTTATTGCAACCATACAAATTTCTGGGGCTTTATCAACTGCTCACTGCTTTTTGTAAAATAGCTTCAGCAATTTAAAAATCAAACTTCAAAAATCCACATACTGCCATTTTTGAATTTGCGTATATAAAATAATCTTAATAATATACAGGAAAAGTGTTAACTATTCAGTTTTTAAATTGACAGTGGCAGTTTCAAATTGAAATGATGGATATTCTGCATACGGCAGAAATAAGAAAGTTTTTATTTACGAAAAACTGATGTCGCATAAAGTATCGAATTTGCAATATACTGAATAAAAATTAATTGCTGATCAGAATATATGTTAAGCTATATAAATCGCCACAGGAAAAGTAAAACATGTAATCTAAAAAATACTTAAGATCAAGTAATAAAGAAATTATATTCTATTTCCTTTTAGACCTCATTGTAATATGCAGTAGCCCTTGTTAACAACGTCAATTATTTCGACAAGTTAAAGCCACCACTACCGCTTTTCCAAGCTAAGCATTAAATACTTTTCCAGTAAAACTTCATTAATCATTTTGAATCGAATATTTCGATTTTAAAACCTGCTTTCTGAGTTGATAAGTCCATCTGCGAAAACCAGAACAAAAAGTAGTATAAAAAAAAGTATAACCTCGAAGACGCTTTTACGAAGACGTAAAAATGATATTCTTTTACATCAGCTTAACTTTTCAACTTTTCGTACTATTTTTCATTAATTAAGATTAATATATTAATAACAAACCTCCTTTCATAAGATTTCCCCTCTTCTCAATCTCTGCAGATGAGAATAATATGCACATCTCGCATATCTCTGAAATAACGAGGGATTCTCAAATCCACTTGTAACCAATCACAGTGAATTAACTGAAAAGAAATATGAAAATGAAATACCCGTCAAAATGGAAAACTGTCCCTTTAATACATTGGAAATAAAACTGTAATTCAGTTAAAAAACATAGCCTAAATTAATATGTCTTACTACATATTTCAAAGAGACCTCAGGAGTGCAAATTCATTTTAGCACCAAAAGCGAAATCCACTCAGTTCGGATTGATGCCTGTACATTTAAATGTTACTGATTAAATAAGAAACTATTAGTAGCAATTACATGTTGCACTAGCATTCTTTTCTTTTTTTAATTCCTTTAATAAGGTTTTCCTTCTTGAAGTAATTTTTTCTCCGATTTTTCAAAAAATTTTGGAGCATTTAAGTCGAGCAACCGCATTTAGGTCATTTACCTTTTTAGAAAGCACAATAAGAACTAAAGCACCTTAAATCAACCACTTCTCGCATCAAATACCATCAAACTCAGTGGAAACAATGGTATTTCTGGTCAGTACATTTCTGAACGACCACACAAAATTCACCAGTTATTTCTTCGTGCTAGCCGCATTTTGCGTATAATACCTACTGAACTACTCCGACAAAGACCAAAGCTTTATAATTTTAAAAGCAAAAAAAAGAAAAAAAAATCACTTAACCGGACGTAACTTTTCTTACGGTTCCATCTCCAATAATGACTGAAAACTTTTATCAATCTGGGGAATTTCGGTTTTTTCAGGAAAAACGATCTTTGGAGCTTTCGAATAAAATATTTCATCAGCAAAATAATATCAGAAGCAAGTAAAAAACTATAAATGAGATTAAATATTATGCAATTAGACATCCTATTGGAAGCAATCATTATAAAGTCGCTAACAAAATAGGAACTTACTTCCACTAATTTTGTAAATAACTTCAAAATTGTCGAAAACTCGAGATACTTATCAACATTTATATATAACCTACTCTTTTGTGAACTTACTTTTATATCCAGAAATCACTTCCATAAAACGGGATTTAAAAAAGTTGAATGCCACTTATTTGGGTGGATTACATCATATCATAAATGCAATTTTGATTTTCCTAACTGCTTAAGTAAAGTTTCGATTCCTCTTAAGAAAATTATTGCTTACAAATTATAACATGTTTTAGTTCAGCAAGTAAGGTTGCAACTGTTATATTCACTCAAACATTCCAAAGAACAATTAATATTTCTAACAATAACACTGAAAAAATTCAACAACAACCACTCATGCTTCAAAAACCAGATCTCGAAGACAGGAAGCTACATGATAGCTTTCAAAGTTATTGCAGAATTCGAATTCTGCACATATAATAAAGTAGAATTTAAAAAATCTCATGTGAAGGTGTAAAAAAACAGACAATCTAAAAGTGGTACAATTAGTTCTTATATTTCCCAGCGAGAGATAATGATTTCCTCGCCATTTCTATTACGCCTTGCATTGATTTATTGCCTCCGATGAAACCAGATGGATGAACAAAAATGCAGCCGGGTATGTCCGCTACCTTCGTCAATTCTGCATCACGAAGACCACGCCATGCCTCTGGAAGGGGTAACCTGAAAAACTGAAACAATTTTGCAATTAGCACAAAGAATTCTACATAACTATATGGCGCGAATTTAAGCACGCTAATACTCTTTTTAATAAGATCTTTACAAAATATTTTGGAATTATTTTGCATGAAATATGATGAGCACAGTAAACACCACATACATCATCATGAAAAGTGATTGAAAACTTCATATTGGATAAAATATAAAGAATCTAGGAAATCCACATAAAATAAGAACGAATCATTTGTAAAACTGGCAAAAACCTATTTTCAAAAGGTTGTCTTTCATTTACTGGAATAGCTTGCACTCGCCATTGTGCATTTACATTATCTTCATAAATAACATATATAATATCATCGTTTTTTAAATGAAACTGTTCTTCAATGAGAAAAAAATGATCTTTCCATGGCATTCCACCACCTTCGAGGCAAAATATTTGGCCACTTTTGTCAACCTGAAAAAATTCGGACAAAGCGATAAGAAATTAATTGTTGATTCTGGAAGAATTCAGGAGTAAGCAATAACATTCCAAATCGTAAATTATGAGAAAGAAATGACTAGTAATTTAATTATTGAAGGTAAAAAACACTAGAAGCATAATATACAAAATTTAAAATGCAGCAAAAGTAATTTAAATTCAAGTGATAGAAAACAAGGCAATTAATTCATATCACGAATTCGATTCAAACTTCGATGAATGAAAAATCTAAGTTGACGAATAGATAAAGAAGAATAGGATGACTGCATTGGTAATAAAAATAATTGAAATATAACAAACATCATAACGATGAGTGACTGCGTTGATAATGTGGCTGCGCGCTGGCAGCCAAGATTTATGAAGATAAGTCAGCAGCTCATTGAATTCTTTGTCAACCAACTTGATTGCCATCATAAATCTGTAATTAATAAATTCACTAAAATAATTTCAAATAAATACAAAACTGAAATTCTCAGATGGTCAGTTTAAAGAAAATTATCAAGAGTTATGAAAAATTGCCTTTCATGTACGTTGACTGTATCCTCATTCCATGCAGGATTTAACATTGAAATTCGAGACGAGAGCGTACCACCCAAATAATACCTGAATTTAGGAAATAAATCACTAAAAGTATGTTTAACAGTCGATAAGTGAATTAATCTTTGTTCAGCAACTGTTGGTATCTCTCTCATCACATTCAGAAAAAGTAATTGGATGTCATACTACCAACAAAAAAAATCCTTTAGAATCAAATCTTCATTCATCAACTATTTTATAGTATACCTTGGTTTACCATCAAACTGAGCAATCCCATTGTCTATTGCATCAATAGATTCCACAAATGTTTGATAAACTTTTTTGAATAAAACGTCAATGATTGAATCATGTTGCAGCCCAAGCAAAGAGCTAATAACATTCTTCCCAAAATGAGCGTAAATGAGGCCTGCTGAACTTAATTTGGTATGGAAATTCATTACTCCCAACGTGTTCATTGTATGAGCAAAGTCCCTAGAAAAAATATTACGCTATTATAATGTAATTCCTGGATGCATCATTCTTTTCTCCAAGAAACTCCACAAGGTCATTATGACTCTTCAGTTTGTATGCCCTCATTACAACAAATTTTTCTAATTGAATGATTAGAAAAAATTATTGAAATGAAGTGTATTTTGCTAATAAATAAATTGTAAAACAAGTTGACGGACAAACTGCAAAATAAATTTTTTTGTGACAAACCACATATATTAACAACAAATATAAATAGATACAGAAACATTAGCTTTACTCTTAATTATTGGTTTACAGTATTTCTAAAAGCACATCAAATTGAAAATGTAATTAAAAAGTGATAAAAAGTGTCAAAGAAAACACTGTTGTCTTATATCACAGTGAACATCCAAAGAATAGAAATAATAACCTCTGATGGTGGTCATATTTCATCGCGGCATGGTTATACTCACCACCGACATCAACTACAATATCACATAAGCTCAATACGTCTTTATCACGACTTCTGCAAACATCCATAAACTTTCCTAACTTAACTAAAGCATACAAATCTCATTAATTATACACTAGCGACTGTAGCAAACGAACAAGAAACAGTTGAGGCAGTATTAAAACTTAAGCTTGCCGAATTAAACGGTTGAAAAATTATTAAAATACTAAACTAACGAGAAAAAAGTGCCAATATCAAATGAAAATCATCAGGCATTTTCAAGGGCCTAAATTAACACTAAAACTATAACGAAGACGAATTAATGTTAGAAAAAATGTCATCAAAAAATGGTTTTTTACTGGAGAAGGCTAATTTCAAAATAATATCAAGAAACCATTCATAATTCTGCAACCGAACAAGTTAAAGACTATAATTATGTTTGCTTAAACCTCGAGAAAATGAAAAATGAGACCTAATAAATATGGTTATAATGAAAAAATTAAAAACAATGTTTACCGCACAATTTCGTAGTTATTGTATTCGGGAAGTGATTTCAACAAGAAGATAGCAAAGACCTGAAAATAACTTGACATTTCTATATTCAATATCTGGCATTTTTACATTGAAATAATTTTTCATGACTGCTATTAATAGATGTAATCAATAGACATATACTGGTTATATGAAATACTGGTTACATATCCTAAATTTCCTCCCTCATTCACATCATCCCACAATTTAATGTAGCAACAATACATATATTATGTGTAACCAACTTCTGACAGATTAGCTATACATAATATGTAGGTAAGAATAGGTAAGTTACCAATATCGTATGATTTCTAACCGAAACAAAATCATGCCTTAACTTAACAAAAATCACTTCTACTAGTTTATTTGAAAGAAATAAAACTTTAAAAAAGGAATGATTACCTCATCACAGTGAAAAGACCCGTCGTGAGTACCAATTTTAGGCATCGTAAAATATTTGGAATGGCAATATGCAACTCGAGGTAACAAAAATGTCGATAAACAGTTAATATTCCGGGCATAAAAAAGATAAATGTATTCATTTAACGCGGATGAAGCAACCCACAAATATTGAGATAAACTAATGGTAATTGGTCAATGAATTATTTTTGTTCATCTTTTATCAGTCTCAACTTCTCACTATATGAACTTATAAGGACACATTAGTCCTAAAGCTTGTGGAAACATATCAATCGAAGTTTTCACTGAAGAAGTCTTCTACTTGTCTTTTCTCAATTTTCAGGATGCAGTACTTTCTCTGTGCCATTCAAAAATGGGAAGGGGTTTGAAGACACAGCCTTAGGACTAATGTGTCCTTACTAAATTCATACAGAGAAACGGGACATTTCACAGTAGAATTTTCCTCTCTTGCGCACATACCATACTTTTGCACATCGGAAACATCGAAGAATTATTGTCAAGTAGTACAGAAATTTCTGATGGGCTACTATCTTACAGTTTGTTTCTGCTACGTTTAAACATTCTCTCGTAAAACGATGAAGTGCCCTGACACACCTTAAATGAGGTGGCATATAATGTAACTAAAATATGGCTGAAGAACACTCACGTACATAAATGTGCACTGCCCCGATTGCTAACGTCATCCGCACGTGACCCTGAGAGAGTCGGAAGTAATCACGAAGCTAGACTCACAATCGTACCTTCCTTGGTAAGGCATTAAGCAATTTACGGGTAGGATAACGAGTTGCACAGCGTGTCAACGATCGATCGCTACATTTGGGAGTGTGCCAGGTGGCGTGTTGTTTGTGTGACGCGGAGTGAGTGGTCTCCTCTTTGTAGGGTAGCGTGGTTTTGTTTTAGTGGAGATTGGGAGAGATGAGGTGACAGTGGCAGTGACAGTGACAGTGCTACACGTAGGCTATATCCTTCCTTGTCTAGCTAGACGTCTCTTCATTCTGGACTGAAGTTTTAGTCAGCAGTGCTTTCTATTCTATGAATAAAGTGAGGTATCGTCAGTCTGATTTGTTCCGATTCTTTTTCCGTAGAGATGAGTCTTTGTCTTCGTAGTTCATTCAGTGCACCTGAGTTACCTGATAGGTTGTATTGACCATACTAACGCACTGACATGAAACCTGCATCAATGTTATTCAGACATTTTTTTCATATTTGTATCCTTACTATTATACTTTCAAGAAAATATCATTAAACTCGACAGAAGTTTTGAAACCCAGGCAATAATTTGTTTGTAATAAAATTATATCCCAAAAATAATCACAGGCCACGTTAGTTCCTCAGAATTGGTTGTAAATGAACTGAACTGTTTCCAGAATAAGAACTACATTGGCTGGATTCGCTATAAAATGGCTGATATATTAGATCAGCCAGACAATGATCTTGATTTATATGGGGACGGTGAGCTTGACACTCGCTTCAGTGAACGTGATGTATTGGGTGATGACGATGACGATATCGCTAAGTGAGAAACTTACCAATTTTTATGATGATTCGGGCAGTTTTCCATCAAGAGTGTCCATACTTCTTAGAGAATCCTCTATTGTTTTTGCTGGACATGCTGTTGGGTTGGACTGTATATAACTTGTATATTTGACATTACAACATCCGCCTTGCATGTTTTATAGATCCGATAAATACTCTGTTGAATAAATCTGAGGTAAATGGTACAGATTTATAGTCCTATAGTTGCTAGTTTGGAGCAGTAATTTTAATGAAATACAACTTTCCGCTGAACATTTCAGCATACGAAACAAAAAATTTTATATGCAGGGATGGACAAGACAATCACACATCGAAGAATGGTAATACTGCAAGTGAAGCAAAAGTAGTGAAATCTGAGATGAATGATACGGATTTATATGACGCTGCAATCGAGCCATCTGGGCAAGTTGTGAAAGCCGAGTCGCTGCCCGCAAAATCGAACATCATCACTACTCCGCAAGGAAGTCAATCAAAAGCTCTTCCAGCACTCGGTGTAAACCAGAACAATACTGGTCGAAGATACTGTTGTTATATAGGTAGTTTTTCCCAGATTACACTTACATTTTTAATGATTAGTCAAGATATAAAATGTGAAAATGTGCTTCCTGTTTTCACCAATCTGTTGTATATTCTAACCCCAAAAAAGAAAAAAAAAATTAATTAGGGCGCCTTTTGATGAACACATCTAATCATTGATTGGATGCTTGTCAGATAGTTGTCTAGATTACTTCTGGTAAACTATGAACTTATTTTGAATCTGGATTAGAATAAACAGACTAGTTATGTATCAGAAATTCTGCTCTTATATATTGCCAAAAAATGACAATGATGCAGATAAAGTATACATAATAAAATTTTTTTAAATAATTATGCTTGCAAATGAAGCAAATAATTATCTTTTTATTTGTATCTGTATTTGAGAGGCGTATCGGTCTTTTTGTTACCCTCAGGTAATATGACGTGGTGGACAACTGATGTTGATTTGCAAACGATGATATTATCTTGTGGTGCTACGAATTTAATCGATATCAAATTTTATGAAAACCGAAATAATGGTCAGAGTAAAGGTTTTGCGTTAGCAGTTTTCACTGCTGAAAGTTCGGTCAAAACAGTTATGGAAAAATTGCCACAAAAAACACTTCATGGACAGCAACTTGTCGTTCTTCCATACACAAAAGCATCACTAGCAAAATTCGAAGATGCTACTAGACGAGTCGATCAGGTATCGATGTTCTGCATGCATTACTTTCAATTTTATTTTGATTAACGTAATTTTACAAATTCTTTATGGTTTTCAGAGAAACGACAAAAAGGATACTAAGAAGGATGACCAAAAAACTCCATTTGTTGGTACCATTCGTATCGGTATGCCACCACAACAGCCATTACAGCCTGGGCAGATGACTATACCGCCACCCGTACCATTGCGACCACAGGTTCAGGTAACGAAACACAGTAATAAAACATAGTTCATGCCATTTATTTGTGAAAGTGAATTTTTAGATATTAATATGATGAATATAATTATTACTACGATTCTTAATGTAATTATTAATATGATTAATAATGTAATTACGCTATTATTGTGATTATCTAAGGTCCCTCCACCTCTTCCATCATTGCGTCCACCAGCTCAAGTTGCATTGATATTACCACCTAATCAGCAGCCTCCACAATTGCGTGGTCCTCCACCAAACTCACAACCTCTTCCGCTTGGTGCACTTAGTGTGACTCGACCGCCGGTCAACCTAAGTGCTCCACCGCCAAACATACCGCAAGTTCAGTTGTCAGGTAAGCGATATTAATATATAAGAAATTATCTGTTAATATAAATTACCTCTTAATATATAGCTACACAGTTTAGATACAATCTGTTTCATAAAAAAATACAATCTGAATCCATTTGTTTCCTTCTAATTTCTTTATCTTTATTATTTTTTCAGCAGGAGCACCTCCACCCGGTGCCCCACCAATGAATCGACCACCACCTGGTTTTGGTCAGCCACCGCAAGCCTTACCACCAATGTCGTCGGCGGGACCATCAGGTCCATCGAGCACTTCGCAACCTGTAACAGGAATGGCTCCACCTGGTGCTCCACCTACATCACATCCTCCTCCGTCCTTTCCTCCCCCAGGTGCCCACATTAATCCACAAGTGTACCGTCAGAATTATGGAGGAGGTATTTATTTTGTTTTCAATATATAAGATCCAAAAATAAGTTTTAATATGAATTAACATGGCTGAGAACTACAGTTATGCAATCTTTAATTTTAAAAAATTACAGGGCCAGCATCAGTCCCTTGCAGCATTGAAGGAGTGTCAGAAGCTGAATTTGAAGAAATAATGAATCGTAACCGTACTGTTTCGTCATCAGCCATAACACGTGCTGTAAGCGATGCTGCTGCAAATGATTATGCATCCGCTATTGAAACACTGGTCACTGCAATATCGCTTATTCGACAAAGTCGTGTAGCAAACGATGATCGGTGCAAAGTCCTCATTTCTTCACTACAGGTTATATTTCATCTTCTTTAAAACTTCTTTTTAATTAATATGTTATCCAGTAAGAATTAATATCCGTGATTGACATGCGTTGCCTATCAAAAAAGATTTCAGGACACTCTGAATGGGATAGAAAGTAAATCATACAATTCATCTTCACGCAAGCACCGGTCAAATCGTGATCGTTCGCGATCGCCATCTGAGCGATCTCGTAAGCGACATCGTCGCTCATCACGAAGTCGATCCCGTTCTCGAGAACGTTATGACTACTCGCCACGACATTCCTCTTCATCAGGTCGACGTGCATATTAATTATTGAACGTCGTCTTACTCATGTTCAATAAATAAGAGAAATTCATGTTTTTCTTTTCTTTAAGTGATCGATTTTTCATCTCCATGTTACCATATGTATTTTTCATTTCATTCATTCTTTGCAACTGTGGTATATTGCTCTCTCAAGATGTTTTGTGCGTCCTCCTGGAATCGATTTGCACTTTATCAGGTATGTTCCTTCTTTAAAAAATTTCTGTTATCATTTTCAAGTTGTACATCAAAACTTTCAGACGAATAATTTTCTTTGAGATTTGTCAAATGGAATGATTTTTACAGTTTCTTAAGTCTGTCATATGTGGGGGATATCTGCTCATAATTATTTAATTTCTTTAAAGGATGGTTAAATTTAATTTGTTTGTAAATCTAGAAGCATTGTAATTATTGCAGTAATTCTCATAATTATTGCAGTAATTCTCACACTTTAAACAAAAGCGCTATGCTAACCAATGACATAAAGGTTGTTGCATCTAAGCAGTGTGAGTCATTCACAATTTCGGTTCGTTGATGTCAGATTTTCGTAGCTTTCTCTGTTCATTTGTCATAAATTCGGTTTTGGTCAGCTTGCAATCTTTTTTATCTTGTAAGGATTTCATTGCTTTCATTGCTTAGTGATGGGTCGATTGTAATAAAATTTGCTGATGGAACAATTAAATTT